CACACCCTCTTTCACGAAACCCACAGAGGTTCAACTTATTAGAGGACAAAGAAGAGTTTGATTTTAACATTTTAACAGGAATTACTTTGCAAAGAGTCTTTTCCATGAGCTGTTAAAAGTGGGGTGAGGGGACAATATATTTGGGGGGTCCTTGCAGTGGGGGGGGTGAAGGCGTGCGGATGACACAATGGGTTGAGCATTGGGCTGCCAACGGAAAGTTTGAACCCACTCACTGCCCTCCCAAAGAAAGATGTTGGCAGTCAGTGTCCAAAGGATTTACCACCAAGGAAACCCTGCAGAGAAGCCCCCTCTGTCCTACAGACCCCAAAACCAGACTCACGCCATGGAGTCAATGCTGACTCATGGTGAACCCTTATGGGTTTCCGAGCTGTAGCTGTTTATGGGAGTAGAAAGCTCAGTCTTTCTCCCAAGGAGCTTCTGCTGGTTTCAAACTGCCAACCATGGGGATCACAGCACAGTGCAGAACCACTATACCTGCAGGGTTCCTGTCTGTCCTAGAGGGTCCCTGGGAATGGGCATGGGAATCAACTCGGCGGCAGTGGGTTTGGCTGGGTCTTGGGTGGGGGGCATAAACCAGATAACCCATTTCATATCTCCCCCAAAGGTCAGAAGTTGGGGTCCTCAAGAGGCACAAGGCTTGGCGTTGTGCCTTCCAAGGTCTTGACACACCTGGGGAGCACAGTTCTGCCGGGACACACCAGGGGTTGCCCTGGGTCTGATATGCCCTGGGTCTTCAGTTTCCTACCATGAAATATTTTACTTTTCAAAATGACACACCACTTCCATTGCCTTAGTGTTTAGGAGGAGCGGGGCTGATTTCCTAAGTGCGTGCCTGCAGCCAAAATGGTCCCCTTCCTATCACTGACTCTCATTGTCAGCCCCCTTCTTTGGGCCCAAGACATCCTCTCCTGCCCCTGCCCCAGCTTCCAGGATCCTCTGAGATAGGCTCCACCCAGATCAGCCCCCTGAGGTGGTCCAGCAGGACCCATCGGACGAGAGGCCTTCGTTCTGGGAGTGGGTGGACCTTGATGGCCATTTGTCCTCTCTGAAATGTCAAAGGGTGCACCGTCCCTCCAACCCTGCAGTTAGCAGCCTAGTGCTTAATCCACTGTGCCACCAGGGTGCCCCAGGCCACTGAAACCTAGGCGCTTAGGTCATCAACGCTGTTGGGACGATTATCTGGGTCCACTACTTCTCAGTTGCAACACTGGACCATCTACCATGTGCAGACACTATTCCACAGCTCGAGAGGGGCCCGAGACTTCGCACTTCCAACCAGCTCCCAGGCAATGCTGATACTGCAGCTCCTGCAACCACGCTTTGGGCACAGACTCTAGGCCTCCGAGATGCAGGCAGGCTAAGCCGCTCTGCTCAAGCCACACAGGAGCAGAGAAGGGACTAGAATTCATCCCTCTGGACTTCCAGCCCAGCACCTTCTCACTGGTCAGGTGTGAGCTGGACTATCAGGTCTCGGCTTGTCGCTGTACGGCCACTGAGTGGCATTGCGGCCTTAGGCTTCCCATCTGCAAAGTGGGCTTCATCCTGACTCCTCAGTGGTAGGGATGAACACGACATCCCAAGGCCTAGCTGGCCCTCCTGATACTGCCTGCATTCTCACAGATCCACGTGATACATCTCTGCAGGGAGCTTGTGGACCGAGAGAGGTCTCGGTGCTCCATCATAGAGCTGAGCCCAACCCACCCACCACCTTCAGGTCAATTCCACATCCAGGTGGCCCTGATCAGGGTTTCCAAGGCTTTGCAAATCTCGATGGAAGCAGACAGCCCCATCTTTCTCCCAAGGCACCATTGGTGGGTTTGAACCACCAACCTTGAAGTTAGCAGTCCAAAGCTTCCCAGACAGTAACACCAGGGCGGGCTGCTTTCTCTAAGGGCGAGTCAAAAACAGATAGGAAGAAAAAAAAAAAACAGTCAATGAGCTTAACTTTAATAGCACTCTTCGGATAACCCAGCACGATATAAAAATACTGTTGCAATGGGTAAAACATATAAGTGTCATCGAGGGGCTATATTACATTATGATCAGAAAAGACTGGCGTCAGGGTGCTCTCGTGCCCTGGCAGGGCGGGGCGCCCCAACTCCAGGAGCCTGGTGGTGACTGAGTATGGCTGGGCTTCAAGGCTGAGAGGAAGGCTGAGGCCTCTTGCCAGTCTCTTGCTGCTGCTGCTGCTGCTGTTGTGCCCTGGGCTCGTGAAGACCCCTGTCCAGGAGTAGAACTGCCCAGAAGGGTGTCGGCGCTGTAACCAGCATGGGAGCAGATTGCTTTCTGCCTCGCAGTTGCTAGGTGGGCTCGAACCACCAATCTTTCCGTTAGCAGCCTCTTGCTTCATTCATTGCTCCAGCAGGGTCCCTTCATCTCACGGTTAGGCCCTGTCTCTGGGTCTGGGCCTGGCTGCCAAGGACAGCCATCTGCTCAAATGGGACTCAGTATTGTCTCAGAAAAGGCTCCCTGATTGGCAATCGGAACCCACCCGCTGCTCCTCCTCCTCGGTGGAAGGAAATGACAGTGGTTTTGACTGTAAAGATTACAGCCCCTGAACCCCTTGGGGGCAGATTCTACTCTGTCCTAGAGGCCCACGCCGAGTCGGCATTGACTTTGGGGCCATAGGGTTGGGTTGGTTTTAGTCTCTTTTCAGAAAACTGCTCAGAAAACCAAGCCGAGGGCCCTCAGGCAAACGTGGGGGCTGCCGGTCACCCGGCTCTGACCTCGACTGCGCAATCGTTCCTCCAGTCGGACGTACAGGGGGAACCCAGGCTTCTTTTCCCGCTCCCTCTTCTGCATCTTTCCCAGAACTCCTGGGTGCTGGCCCCAGTGCCTCAAACCAATGTCAGTGTTCACAGGAAATGGTTCAGCAGCTCCGGCTGCTTCTATGACACGCACATTGTGAAATGCCAAGTGAGGTCGTGGAAAAGGCTGAACCCGAGGGCCAGAGAGCTGCAGGGAAACCCAGGAGTCAGGGTCACACCCACCCCTGGGCTCCGGGCTGAGGCTGTCACCCAGGACAGCTTTGCCCCCTGCTTTTGTCTTCCTTACAGGAGGCCCTCTGGTGTCATAAGTTACCTGTTGGGCTGCAATTTTAGTGACGTTTTTTAGGTGCTGAAGGTTCGAACTCACGGCGACCCTGTGTGCAGTAGAGGGAGCACAGCCCAGACCTGCGGCATCATACCCTTGTTCCTGTTTGAGCTCATCGGTGCAGCCGCTGTGCCCACCCATATGGTGGCCCCTCCACCTCTTTTCGCTACTTCAACCAGGTCCTTCTCCAGGGACTGGGCTCACAAATGCAGAGGCAGGCATGTACTCTTTCCTACAGGGCCACTGCTAGTTAGAATCCACTCGATGTCAGTGAGCTTGGGTTTTCTTTTTTCTTTTTTTCCTGAAAGCCTTTCAAGAGGAAAAGTCTGGAATAGATTTCTTCTTTCTCCCCAACAGTTTTATTGGCACACAGTTCACAGGTCATACAATTCAGCAGTTCAGCCACACCAAGAGACGTTGTACAGTCAGCACCTCAATCAACTTTTAGCACATTTGCTTCATTCTTGTACTCATGATTAGATCCCTACTTCCCCCGAACCTCCTCTAAGAACCATCAATCCAGTTACTGCCTGTAGATTGGCCTAGCTTATATTTCAGGTACAGAAACACACTTAAAAGCAAACAAATAAAAACCTAACACGAATAACAAAGTAACACATTTCCTAGCCAATGTTTCTGAATTGTCCATATCTCTCACCCCAACGGAGTAGATTCCATCTCATAACAACCCTCTGGGAACCACCCCTGTGGGTTTCTGAGACTGAAACTCCTTCTTGGAGTAGAACACTTCATCTTCGCCACCTCTCAGCAGCTGGTGGTTTCAAACTGCTGACCTTGTGGTTATCAGCCCAACGTGTAACCACTAGTGGACAATGACATCCAAAAGCAGAGGATTTGCTCTTGGTCTGTGCTATACACAGCTGATGGGCATATTTGAGTGTCGCTTAAGAAACCTTGGTGTTGTAATGGACTATGCTAATCAAAAGGTCAGTTGCTCAAACCCATGAAGTTTTCTGCTCCTGTAAAGATCGACAGCCTCAGAAACCCATGCGAGCAGTTCTACTGTGTCCGCTAGGGTTGCTGTGGGTCAGAATTGACGCCAGGGTGGTAGGTTTGGTTCTATGTGGCGATCTCAGTAGATAAAGCCCTCTTCTCCACGGAACCTACAGCAGGGATGAAGGGAGGAGGGATGCGGAGTGGAGATACACGTATCCCAGGTGGAAGGAACATGCATAGAGCCCAGGTGACCACAGAGATCTTGTTTGGTGTAGCACTGCTAGTAATTTCTGGAGTTAGTTAAAAGGAGGCTCAGGGCTGGATGATTAGGGAAGGATGAGACTTTGAGAAGCAAAAAAGGATGAATCCACCAGATTAGACACCGGGCTGCTAACTGCAAGATCAGTGATTCAAACCCACCAGCCGTTCCTCTGGAGAAAGATGAGACTGCACCCACACAGATAAAGTCCTGGAACCCAAAGGAGTGGTTCTGTTCTGTCCTATAGGGTCACAATGACTCAGGGGCAGTGTAGATTTAAGGGAGAAGCCCTGAGAGCACAGTGTTTAAAATGCTCACCAGCTAATGGAAAGGTTGGTGGTTTGAGTTGGTTGGCACCGACTCGAAGGCAGAGAGTTGGAGTTTTTGAGTTTGACTCTTTGCAGAAGCACATTGCCAAGTCTTTCTTTCCAGGACCACCACTTGGGTGGGTTTGAACCTCCAACCTTTAGGCTGGCGGTCAAGTGAGAACAGGTAGCTCCACACCGGGATTGCCACGAATCAGAACCAATTCGATGTCAACTGAGAACCACCCAGCCAGTGTAGCTAATGGAAGGTGAAGGAGGACGCCAGGGATGAGCCTAGCCCGCCCAGGCTGGCAGTGTCGTGAATGGGACCCAGGGGTGTCCCTTCCATGGGTGACAGTGACAGCATGGCTCCAGGTCCGGATGCCAAGGGCCTGGACCTGGGTAAGAGCAGGCAGAGTGAGAGGAAAGAGGTGGCCAGAGAGACACTTTAGAGACAAGAAATCCCCTTTGAGGTGAGACTTCTGACACTGAGGCATCCTAAAAAAGAACGTCACAGAGGAAGTGAGTGGACCCACATCACCTCAGTGATGCTTCGGGAGGAAATGAAGAGGAATGGCAAAAATAACCGAGTTGGAACGGATACAGGAGCAGGCAGCCAATTGACTCCTGCTAATTATGCAAGTGAGCTCATCCTAA